TAGTCACTTTATTACTTGACGACCGCGTATACTTGCGTGAGTGTGTTTGGTCGCAACACCGTGTCCTCAAGTTTGAGCGAAATTGGCTAATCTTTAAATACATTATAAATTGTAGACATATTTTAAATAACATGCTTAAAAGTGGCAACCTGGTGTTATTTCCACAAATTTTCAGCTAATATTTTGTTATTAGATGGCGGGAGAAATTCAAAAATAGCCAGATTTAGATTCAAAAATAGTCACAGTTTCAAAAGTAATCAAAATTTAGTCACTTTTCATATAAAGATAAATTTGAATAAAAACACTGTTTAAAATCCGAAAAATACTCCAACATAATATACTGGAATTCCAGTATAATATGCTGGAACTCCAGTAATATACTGGAGTTCCAGCATAAGTATAATAAGCAATATACTGGAGTTCCAGTATAATATACCGGTCCAACATAATATGCTGGAAGTTCATACACAGGTGCTCAAATCTCCAGTATATTATGCTGTAACTTTCCGTGTTGCAGCAAACTAGTGGCTATTTTTCAATGACTTTGCAAACACCGGCTATTTTTGAATGACCAATCCGAAAACTGACTAGCCAGTACTATTTTTATTTAGATGGCACACAATGTTATCTCAGACCCCACTTATGAAATTTCACTCGATTTGTTGCTGTTTGATGGTACACGATGTAAATGCCATATAAACCGTGTTAGTTTTTTTATTTAGTTTTTGATAAGGTATAAACTGGGTTAGTATTCACGTAACATTACGTAAATTATCGAAAAAGTTTAATATAGTCAGAAGTGCAATTTTCTTTTGTTGCAACATATCTAATCCAAATGCTCAATAATAAAGAATGGTTTCCCGACTACGTCCTAATTAGTGTTAGTAATCGTAATGACGTATGTTTTGTATAACTGCGTACAATTGTATATGGCCTTTATTTCATTACTTGGATGTCAACATCCAGCATATCACGGGCTACTTTTGGTTATTTCAAGTGAGTAAGTTTTGTTGTTGTAATGAATAAAATTTAAAGATTTTACTGTCATAGTAATAATATTCAAGTACTCCTTTATGTGACAAAAATTAGTTTTATTATTAAGGTGAATCAATTTTACAATTGTATGTGATAGATATATTCTTAAATTAATTGTAAGTCAAATCATAAGTAGATATTATTAACGAAGTAATCCAACGAAAGGCTGGATTTTTCTCTCTATGAAGGACATTTTTCATTATTTGGTTCGACAATTAAGAAAATTATCAGAAAATAATGTACACCAAAACTGATGAAATTTTTTACAAGGTTGCCTATGTTTGTCAAGTGAAAACTATAGGTCCCCAAAAGGTTGCCTGTTCATAACAAGTAGAGTTTGTGAACCAAAAGTGTTAGTTGTGTGAGGCATTTGAGTTCCACAAACTCCACTTGTCCAACATAGACAACCCCGCACAATTTGTGTCAGTTGTGTGAGTCACAAAGTAAAGTCCCCTTCCTATTGCACAACATCCATTTTGCTCTCTTTTTCAGACTCCGAAGAATAATCCTCCATTTTCTTGAACACCCTTCCCCAGTGTCAAGCATATTAGACAGCATCAAATTTGTACTCCCCTTCCCCACATCACATATATCTGTTTCTAAATGCTTCCGAGGTGAACCAAATCTGCCATACTTACAAAAAATCAACAGGTACACAGCAACTGCAAAATAAGTGCCTAACTTTGAGTTTGGACAGAGATGCAAATAGGCTGAACAGCAACATTGTACCATCCATTTGCCATGTAGACCAATTTGAAGATTCCTTGCCACGAGTAACTCATCCAATTCAATGATGCATCAACTCCTAGTTTCTTTCTGGGATATTATACAGATTTAAGGAATCACCAATGTTGCAACCGAGATTATAAATACAGTAATATATCAATCAGAACCACTGGGCTATCAAATTGATAGTCACCAACAACAACCACCAAAAAGGAAAATAGAGAAGGGTGAAGAGCTGGAGAAAATAAAAAAAATCACCCTCATGAACAAACAAGCTAACTCGCTACCGCTTTCTTAGTAAGTGGATGACTAAAACACCACTACATTGTCTCCAGATTACCTATATAGTACCATTAAAAGATATATGCTGATATCTAGTCGAGATCAGTACATGCTCTCACCATCCCTTCCATAGCAATATTTTTCTCCACTTTGCTTTTGTATCATTCTAAAACAAAGTTGACAATCTGGAAAAGCCACTCCTATATCCACGCAGCTTTTGTATCAATCTAAAACAAAGATGCTCTCACCATCCCCACCCCCAGCAATCTTGCAATCCCAACTCAAGTAACAAACATTTACCATTCCTAAAAAACAACAACTCAAATTGCGTGGAAAAAGTAGAAAGGTTTAGAAATTTACACTTGATGATGTTCTTAATCTTTTTCTCATGGCCTGTTCAGCAATCGGTGTGACTGCTAAGTTAAAATCTNCATCTCGCAAGGGGTGATATTCTACGGAAGCCAGCTTTTCCTTTGCTGCCTGCATTCTCCTTTTTTCAACTCTCTGCAATAATACAAAGGAAAAGATTATAATGCAGTTCATCAATTAGATGAATGATACATTGTTCTCCATAAAATAGACGTAAACTTACAAGGGCCTTCTCAAACCCTTCAACTTGCTGTTTGCAAAGCTTGAGCTCCATCTCAATGGCATGGATACGATTGTTAACAGGTACATTGCATTGCTCAACTATCTGCTTTTGCTTACCCCGGACAACCTCCGGCTGCCAAACATTTAGTGCAACTGAGGCTTCCCTGATAGAAGCAAATCAATACCAAAGTCAAACATCAGCCAAGTTATTTTACATTTTTCTTTGACTAACAAAGAATAACGAAGCTTCTACAAACAAACACGCAAACAAGATCGTTCTGCTCTTGCATAAAACATTATTCTCTGCACAAACGGGAATACCATAAACATGTAATTTTTTTCTTTTTTGTCAGGCTACCATACACATGTAGTTTATCATCTCCTAATTGTATTTTTGTTTATGAAGTTTTCAAACGCGAGCAACCAGCTGTTTTGTTAAAGCAAGACCCCACCCCCAGTATTGTAAGCAAAATTGCAGAAACAAAAACAATAAATAACATCATACGAGTAGCTTTCTGTCCACTACCTGATTTTATGCAAATTTAAAAACTCAGCAACAGTGTTCTTCATCTTCTCTTTCTCCTCTGCAGATCGAAGTTCCGTCTCCCGAATCCTCCTAGAATGCTCATTAATTTCACTCTGAATTCTTAAAACGGCCCTTCTATGGGCCAAAACCTTCTGTTCTCGGACTTTTTCATATCTAATTGATGTCAACAACCAATTAATCAACTCCCATCAAAAGATTTTCCAGAGAAGATAACATTAACAGGAAGATGAGATGATATGGCTGAGAATAGAAGACATACAAGAGTAAAAAATCTACCCACACCCGGTGTTTACACCAAACCAATGAACACATGACACATGTCTTCACATACAGTCTTATCACTAAACAATAGTAAATGAATACAATTCTCACCTTAAGTTATGACCTAATCATGTAAATTAGTATTATTTGGTGTAAACGCGGGCGCGGGTAAGCTTTTACCGGCATACAAGTGACTTCTGGCCATCACATAATATTTGGACATACATATTATTTGCAAATAATGACATATTATATGTAAATCAATGTTTCTTTTTTAATATTTTTCCATTATTTCAACTTCAACTTAGAAATAGAGAATTTGAAGCTGAAACTAGTTTGAAGAGTATTTCAAGTGAAATACAGTGGCTTGCACACACAAAGTTTAAATTTTTTTCCCAAGTGAAATTCATGTTCAAACTCAATTTTAACTTTCAAATACTCGTTTTTTCAACTTCAACCAAATGTTGTCTTGAGTTGNGGAAAGCTGAGTGCAAAATTAAGAATTTATATGATGTAGATACACTAAAACAGCACACACATACACATGTATAAAGAAAATCTGAGTACTGCAAATATACCTTATTTTGTAGAGCGATTTATTGGATACAGAAGAAGACGAACGATGTTGCTTAATAGGATATTGGGGAAAATCGGCGGAGAACAAAGAGGACCAAAGAGAATCGTCGGAGGAGAGTCGGTTGAGACGTCTGCAAGTTATGGATAGGCAGCAAAGATCTTTGTAGTTGAAGTTGTAGAATTCAATTCCGATTTCAAGGATTCGTCTCCATAGCTCGTCCGGCAAAGCTGATGCCGACATTTTCTGCAACCCGACCCTAATTATTTCGGTCTGTTCAATTCGGGCCTTATTCAAATCTAGCTAAATTTTAAGAAGAGAAACACAAATATAAAAAAGATCCTTATTTGGTAACACCTCCCCTTTACTTTATAACACCGGGCAGGTTTGTCTTAGTAACACTCGAAATAGGATAAACTACAAGTTGCTCCATTTTGTTATGAAAATAATTATATTGTGGATGTTTATTTATTACTCCGCTATAAATAATTTTCCTCCATTTAGTACTTTGTTGAAGTTTATCTACAAGCAGCTGATGCAGGCAGGTTGCAAGCAGCT